ATACCAATTTTCAGACAAATCCGTGAAAAAATGTGGCAAAAATAATCAAAATACCGAATATCGGGAGGTACCTTTATAAGGGGGCTATACCAAAACGTGGACCTATACATGCAATATTTTGCCACACGTACAGGGACCCGTTATGACCTACAAATACCAATTTTCAGACAAATCCGTAAAAAAAATGTGGCATAAATCATCAAAATACCGAATATCGGGAGGTACCGCTATATGGGGACTATACCAGAACGTGGACCGATATATCTCATTTTCAATACCAACCATCCTAGACACAATACAAATTGCTCTGCTAAATTTTGGCGCTCTACGTCAAATAATGTGGGCTGTATCGTGATTTCAACAGACAGACAGACGGACATCGTTAAATCAACTTAGAATTTTATGCTGATTATGAATATATATACTTTATGGGATCTACGACGAATATTTAAGGATGTTACAAACGGAATGACAAAGTTAATATACCCTCCTTTCCAAGGTGGAGGGTATAAAAATGTCAACAATAAATTCTAACAAGTAGAATAGTATCAGTCGAGTTTTCCGACAGATGAATACCCCCAGCTTTGAGTTAGGATTATTTAAACTGTTGATCCTTAATGGGGGAGGTTCCGAAGCATTTGGCCTATTCGTATCTGACCCAAGACTGATAAAAGTATTACAATGTGCCAGATTTGAACTGTATAGACTATTTCCTATATTTAATATGAGATATGTGCTAGTTTTTGGAAAATGTGGAAATATGAGTGAGTTACTAAATATAGCGGACCGAAGCATTCCAGTTTCATACTTCGTCTATGCATAAAAAAATATTGGTATGTGCAAAATTTGAAGGTAATCGAACATTTATATCAAATTTTATGCGAAATCGTAAATTTCGATAAAACACATATTCATATCAGATTTCTGGTTGAGAGAAATATTAAGATATAGGAAGTTGTAAAAAATCGCCAACTTGTTTCGCAAGTTATGACAGATATAAGTATTGGAAACTTTGACTCTTTGTGGGTAAGTTACGAGAAGGGGTTGGCAGATGTATATCATCTTCACAACAGATCTTGTGTTAGCAAAAATGTTTGTATGTGAGAAATTTGAGGAAATGGATGTATGGTTTTGGATGCTTATTTCGCTTTCTTTGAGCGTTTTTTTTTTTCCGAAATATTGAGTCTTATGTGGGAGATGTACCCCAAGATATGGTGCGATTTCTACCATCTTTATAACAGATCTTGTGTTGATGGAAATATTGAGATGCATCAAGTCTGAATGGAATCGGATGTTAATTTCGTGTTGTATGGGCTTCATGAATATTCAAAACGTTGACCTTTTGTGGGGGAGGTACCAGAAGGTGTGGACCCATATATTCTATCTTCACAGCAGATCTTTTGTTAGTAGAAACAAAGGGAATATTAGGATGTGCAAAGTTGCTTCCAAATCGGTTTGTTTTTTCTCTTTCCGTGCAGTAAATTATTTTCTTTGAAAATGTTGACAATTTGTGGGGAAGTACCAGAAGGTGTGGACCGATATTGCCCATCTCCGAACTCGATATAAGTTTGACAATAATATTACGATGTAACAAGTTTGGATCAAATCGGATAATCCGTTCGAGAGTTATCGTGCGCACCATCCAGACCGACGGACGGACGGACATCGCTAGATCGACTCCAAATGTTCTGAAATAGATTTGGGCCTAAAACTGTTTTATTCAATTAGGCACGTTTTGGACGTATCAAATGATATATGCCCTCTCTAGCCAAATGGCTAAGGGTATAAGAATGCGTGCTCTGTTTAGAAAGTTCATCGGGCGCTTCTTCCACTTTGCAACGAACTCATTTTTAGCTCAATAGGTATGTAAATAAGCAGAATTGACAAAGCATGATAGAGTGATTTATTTATATTTGGCTGGAAAACCACAAGTGACCATCTTTAGAGCACTCCACCATTTAAAAGTGAATAAAGCTTTTATGTCTCCTACCATCGCTCGTTACCTTGATACTGGTAGCGTAGCCCGACGTCAAGGAAGTGGACGGAAGAAAACTGCAACATCAGCAGAAATTGTTCGAAAAGTAAAGAAGCGACTTGATCGAATCACGCATCGCAGTGGCCGAAAAATGGCTCGTGAGCTGAACATATCGCAATATTCCATTCGGCAAATATTGAAAAGTGAGCTCAGGGTAAAGCCATTGAATTCCCAAAAAGTGCAAGAACTTACACCGCAACAGATAGAAAATAGACTCAAAAGAGCTAAAGAGTTGCTTCGCTTGCCGAAAGTGGTGAACTGCCGAATTTGGTTTTCTCCTCCGATGAGAAAACATTCGTTGTCCAGCTGTTTGTAAACGAAACAAAATGCTCGTGTTTACTTGCAAAAGAGGTCAGATGAAAATGTGCACCTTCGGTTGGCCACCAAAACTCAAGCGCCGGCCATGATGATGGTGTGGGCCGCCATAACAGCCGATGGTCGCTCTTCGCTCGTTTTAATTGACCATGGCATCAGAATTAATGCCAAATATTATCCCGAAAATATTCTGAAGGGTGCATTAAAGCCTTGGGCATGCAAACATTTTGGCCGCAGACCTTGGACATCCCAACACGACCAGCACCATCGCACTCAGCAAGCGCCACCCAAAATGAGGTTCCTCGCTTCATTTCCTGCCCACAATGGCCACCAAAATCTCCGGATAACAATCCGTTGGACTATTGTGTCTGGAGTATTTTGAAAAGCAAGGTTGGCACTAAAAAGTACCAAAGTGTCGATCAACTCAAGCAAGCGCTTCGCCGGGAATGGACCAAAATACCGCAGAGCAACATTCGGGCAGCGTGGGACGGTTTCATTGGCCGTAATTCCATATTCGACATTTGGCCATAATTCGTGCCAAAGCTGACCAATTCGATCAAATCTAAACTTATCCTAAAATTTGATGCTATTTCCGACATTTTTTGCTTTCATTCAATAAAATTAAAAAAAAAATGTAAAAATTATTTCGTTTGACTTTGTTGCATTTTTTTATCTCACCCTGTATACATCAGTTTCAAATTAGTGTTTTAGGGTATAATATAGCTGTCCACATTGGTTTCCTTCCTAACTGGCAATTTTTAAGAACTCGAACCACTCCGTTTTTTCTTACAAAATAAATACATTATTTTTGATTATAGAGGAAAATCACCATAAAAGCAATTCAATTACATACCATTTTTTGATTTAATCCAATTTTGTAAATAAAAATAACAAAAATATATAACAATGCCAGTGCAATCAAAACAATCTATTTTACGATTATATCCACAATAAAATCCATTTCATTTGTGTAATGGCCCATTTCAATCCAAAAATATTGGCTACAACAAAGAACCAAATTTACTCCTTCTCTCACGCTCTTCTCACCTCTCCTTTTCTCTTAGAACAACCAATAAATTGTAACAATGTGTGTTAAATCTTTTGGGATATGTCCCATATTCAAAGTATTTATTTATGCACTTTCCATTTAGATAGACAAAAGGCATACAAACACATCTACCTCTACATGTACGAATGTGACTATGGATTTGTAAATATAAATATATGTACTAATGGAACGTATGTGTTCTACTACAACTACTAGTGTCCCAAAAAGGGATTTCCGACAACAACGAAAATAACACTTTATTTTAATAAAACAAGGCAAATGAACTTGACTCGGTCCCCACAAAGGGAGTTGTAGTTGTTTATTTTTCAGTTTTTTGAACACAACACCTTTTTACATTTTAAAATACCCTTGCTTCAGTTGCTGTTCGAGTTTTTATACCCTACACCACAAGGTGGTCAGGGTATTATGTCTTTGTGCATTTGTTTGTAACAGTCAAAGGGAAACGAGATAGACCCATAGTTCCTTTTGATGATCTGCATAGAATCACATTCTGAGTCGATTTATGCATGTCCGTCCGTCCGTCTGTCCGTCCGTCCGTCCGTCTGTCCATGTACAAGTACAGGTCGCATTTATTGCCCGATCCAGATGAAATTTTTCATAGATCATTTGTTCGGCCCAAGGACGAACCCTATTGAAATTGGAGATAATCGGTCAAAATTTAGATATAGCTCCCATATATATCTTCGTCCGATTTGCCTTTTATTGTGCACCAAACGTGTAATATCAGCCCGAATAGTATGGAATTTCGCATGTACGATCAGATTGGACCTCAAAATAAGTATGCCAAATTTCATCGAAATCGGTTCAGATATAGCTATAGCTCCCATATATATTGTTCATCCGATTTGTTATTTTTGTCCTCCGCAGCCGTAATATGCACTCTGTAACAACAATATTTGGGTAGATGTATCAAATATAGCTCAGAAATACATTTGCTAAATTTTATCGACATCGGTTCAGATTTGGATATAGCTCCCACATATAACTTCGTCCGATTTACATTGGATTGTGCACCAAACGTCTAATATTTGCCCAAATTGGATTAAATGTGGCACTTACGACCGAATTGAGTCTAGAAGCTAGTATGTCAAATTTAGTGAAGATCGGTTCAGATATAGCTATAGCTCCCATATATACTGTTCATCCGATTTGTCATATTTGTTACCCACAGCCGTAATATGCACTCCGTAACAACGATATTCAGGGAAATATATCAAATAGAGCTCAGAAATAACTTTGCCAAATTTTATCGAGATCGGTTCCGATTTGGATATAGCTCCCATATATATTTTTATCCGATTTCAGATTATTTGTGCACCAAATGGGCAATACAACTCCGAATTTAAAAGATACAAATGCTTCGGCATATTTAGTTCTTTGAACTTTAAATTATAATAATAATCATAGCGTGTATGATTGAATTCTCCCATAAAAACTTTTAATTGTTATGCGCAGCTCAACTAAATTAGCAAAGTGGTGTAGGGTATCATAAAGTCGGCCCCGCCCGACTTTAGGACTTTCTTTACTGTTTTTTTTTTCATTCTGTAACAACAACAAAAATACGTTTTTTTTAATACTCACCCATGTCTCCTTGTTACTGTCCGGCTCGACAAATATCAAATGTGTTGCTGTTAAATACAGTGTTCCAACAATTGGATTTTTCGTATTGTAACGATCAATCATGCGGACATTTTCAACCTGGAAAAAAAAACGACAATAACAACAAAAAGAGAAAATGTTAATCAATAAAATTCAATTAAATAAATGTTAAGGCGAGAAATGGGTTTACGATTTCATCTACCGTGTTAACATCTTTGACAATGACTCGGATTGGTATATTTTTTTAGAGGATAAAAAAAATAATGGTGACAAGTCATACCACCAGACTGTGACGACATACCTATCTAAATTTACAAACCACATGAGACTAAAAGGTATATTTTGTGTAAATTACAAAATAAAATAAAAATCTTAAAAATAGAATTTTTTCTTCTTAAAAATATTTTCAATAAGAAATTCTCGATTTTGGCTCGGTGTGTTCTAAAAGTGTGATTTCATGGGACAGTTAAATATTCTAAAAATTTTCAAAATTGTTGTTCTTTGTGAGGGAGGTACCAAAAGGGGGGGTGGGTGTTTGATGTCTCCCGTCTTCACACCAGACCTTGCGTTGGTAGAAATATTCCAATGTTTTAAGTTTGGAAACAATCGGATATTTATTTTGCTTTTTATAAACGTTTTTTGTTATTCACATTAGACCTTGAGTAGATGGAAATATTGGGGTGTTTAAAATTTTAAGAGAATCGGAACGTTACTGTTTTGAATGTGTGTTTTCGTTAATAAAAAATGTTGACCCTTTATGGGGGAGGTACCAGAAGGAGTGGGTCGATATTGTCTATTTTCGCACTTGACCTTCCTTAGACTGTTAAAAATATTAGGACCTGTAAGGTTGGCACAAAATAGGATGAAAATTTCTATTTTATGATATAAATATATATAAATATATCTAAGTTATGTAATAATATTACGATGTTCCGAATTTAGACGAAATCGGATACTCCCTCCAATAAATAAGCACCAGAGAGACGGATGGGCACCGTCATCTCAATTCAAGATTTTTCATAAAAACCTTGAAAAATCCACGATTTGAATATTTTTTAGAAAACAATTTAAGAAATAAGTCAGTTTTACCCACAGATGTATACCCTCAGCCAATGTTCGATTATTTTAATATATTTTGTTTAATATATTCTGTTACGATTATTCAAATGTTTGACTCTCTTTGGAGTAGATTCCGAAGGAGTAGGCCAATGTTGTTCACTTCGTATCGAACCTAATTAAATATGATATAAATATTGCGACGGGTCAGGTAGGGACTATATTGGTTACTTCCTTCACTTTATATGAGATATGTGATCATTTTTAGGAAATGTTAAAAGGTGCAAGAAATATTAGATATAGTCCAGCGAAATCATAAATTCCATATTCATCTTATGTTTCTGGTTGATATAAATATTTAGATACAACAAGATGTAAAGATTCATTGACTTGCTTACAAGTTATGACAGACAAAAGTATTAAAAATTGTGTTACTAAAAATTTTGACGCTTCCATCTTCACACCAGACCTTGGGTTAATAGAAATAACGGAATTTGCGATATTTAAAAAGAACCGGAAGCTTATTTTGGATTCTATTATCGTTTTGGTTATTCAAAATGTTGACCCTTTGTGGGGGAGGTACTCAAAATGTCGACCCTTTTCGCACCTGATCTAGCTCTGATGCAAATATTAGGATTTGCAAAGTTGGAGCAAAATCGGATTATCTATTCTCTATCTGTGCTGTAAATTATTTTCTTTGAAAATTTTTAACTCAATTTAAGTTTGACAATAATATTACGATGTACCCTTCGAAAGTTATCGTGCACACCAGCCAGACAGACGGACGGACAAGCGGACATCGCTAGATCGAGTTCAAATGTTCCGACTAAGGGACATAGATTCTAATACCGTTATTTCGATGAGACACGTTTTGGCCGTATCAAATGATATATACCCTCTCTAGCTATGTGGCTGAGGGTAATATGCCAATCCTAATAATTGCGTCAGTTGTAGGTCAGGTGCAAAAATGGATAATATCGGTCCACTCCATTAAGTACCTCCCCCACAAAAGATGGAAATTTTGAATATCTATGAAGTTCAAACACGCGACATTGACATCCGAATCCATTTAGACTTTTTACATCAAAATATTTCTATCATCGCAGAATCTGTTGTAAAGACGGTAGAGATCGGGCCATTCCTTCTGGTATCTCCCCCACAAAGGGTCAAAGTTTTGAATAACCAAAACGATTCTAAAATCCGCAATGAGCATTGGGTTCTCTTTATATTTCACACATTCCATTATTTCTACTGACACAAGATCTGTTGTGAAGATGGGATATATATTGATCCACTCCTTCTGGTACCTCCCCCACAAAGGCTCAACATTTTAAATATCCATGAAGTTCATAAAACGGGAAATTAGCATCTGATTCTATTTAGACTTTGTACATCTCAAAATTTCCATCAACACAAAATCTGTTATAAAGATGGTCGAGGTCGGACCATTTCTTCTGGTATCCCACACATAGGGTTCAAGATTTTGAAAAACAAAAAGCAAAAAAAGCGAAATAAGCATCCAACTCTCTTGAAATTTCACACATCCAAATATTCTGTTGTGAAGATGATATATATCTGCTAACCCCTTATGCTACCTAACCCATAAAGAGTCACAATTTTCAATATTTTTATCTGTCATAACTTGAGAAGGAAGTCAGCGATTCTTAAAAAACTTGCTATATCTAAATATGTCTCTTAACCAGAAATGTGATATGAATTTGTATTTTTATCGAAATTGATGATTTCGCATAAAATTGGATACAATTTTTTTATTTTTTTTATGTTATCCATATTTTTATATTGACTCAGAATGCACTGCTTCAGATTTGAAAATAAAAAACCTACTTCATACAGCACAGCTTCCATTTAATTTTGCTGTTGGCAAGTGACGTAAATAAAATTCATTTTTTACGGGCTGTAGTGGATGGATTCAAATACTAATTGAAATATCCAATGAATCGAAATGCTTGCTTCATTTCCAAAACGAAAGACATTTTTTGGGTTTCTGTAACTATCTGTTTCTGTATTTTACTCGAATGGTGACTTGAACCAAAAACTCAAAAGAAAACGGAATTCGAATGTCGATTTCAGTCGCTTGCTTTGAAGTTGTCAAGATGCACAAAAAACATGAAATTTCGCAAAAAGTTCAGGAAAATTGACAAAATAATTATCTGTGTCCATACAACAGTCGTAATAAAGCTCAGAGGTTGAGATAAATCCAATTTAACTCGACTTTGTCTAACTACCATCTTTTTGATTTAAGTGTTTGTTTTCTCTTTCGAGACGAGCTTAATGATCTGAAATTTGCAGTGAAAAGGAAAGCCAGATAGACACTATCACACACTCACCACTATGCGACGCGTTTCGCCGTTGGTTAAGCGGCTCATCAGGCATATTTGATGTGGATGATGGCTTACAAGGGCCGTTCTCTGGAAAGTAGTATATATTTCGAACTTATTGCAAATTAGCATATGCGAATTATACACTAGAAACTCTCCAGGTTCGACTCAAGTTCTATTGGCAGATCTTTTTTCACAGCAACGTTTTGTTTTGTTTTCATTTTCGACCGCCTTAAAAAGATGTAGATCGGAACAACTTGCATCCGTAATCAACCAATTCCTTAGCGTCAAACAGCTTGCTGCAATACTTTTAAAATTTTAACAGCTGCTTTTATTGTTTGTTATCCGCACTGCTATTCTATCATTTTTATAGTTTTCATTATTATATCTACATTATACTCGATTCTATTGTATATATATTTGTGCATGTTCTTTTTTATTTTCACCTGTTCTCTTTGTGTCTTTCCAAATTAAAAAAAATGTCTTTTGTATGCTGGAAATTTAACAGACTTTAAGTCCTACGCTTCTAACTGGATTTGTAATCACCAGACAAAGCGAAAGCATTTTAAATTTCCGATTTCTTTATAATACAAATTTTGCACATACCAATATTGTTATACGTATTAGATGAAGTATGAAAATGAAATACTTCAGTCTGATATAGCTGGCACCTTACGCATATTTCCACATTTTCCATACATTTGCACATATCTCATATAAAGTATAGGAAATAGTCGATATAGTCCAAATCTGGCACGTTGTGATATTTATATCAGTCTTGGTCAATACTGGCCAACTGCGAATTGGTCAATACTGGCCAACTGCGGAACCTCCCCCATAAAGACTCAACAGTTTGAATAATCATAACTCAAGGCTGGGCAATACCGACTGATACTATTTTACTTGTTAAATTTCAACATGGGCAATAAAGGCAAAACTAATTTAAAGATACACAGTAATTTATAACAACAAATTGAAAATATGATATAATTTTGTTGTGTGCAAAATGGCCAGGTTTTATCCCTTTATTGTTGTTTTTATAAAAACAACGTTTGTTTATTAGTGGGGAACGATGGTAATGTTTACCAGGGGGTAAGGCAGGGAATACTTAGGTTTCGGAAAAAGCCACCAATACTCATCAGTTCCCTTGTTTTTTGTCTGGGAGAATATCCCATTTTATATTTTAAAAATAACTTCTATGACAAAAAAACATTTTTTACCCAAGTGACGAGATCGTAAGCTCAATAGAGACGAGATGACGAGATCGTAAGCTCAATATGATATAATTTATTTTTTTTTATTAAAAACCTCGTTGTCATATATTTCAAATCTCTCACCCTAATTGCAAAATTTACAAATTTTTGCCTAAATCTTGAAAATCTCCGAAATCAAAAAGATGTTCAATATTGACAATTTTGGCACATCAATTTTTCAAACAAGAATGTTAAATTTCAGCAAAATCGTTTGAAATAATACGGTAAAACCTCTTCAAAGAAGTAAAATCGGGAATAGTGTTCTATGGAAGCTATATAAAATTGTGGCCCCAAATTAAAATTATTTTGAAAGGACCTCAGGTATCCATAAGGAACACCAGATGTCAAATTTCAGTCCATGTCAATCACACCGCATAACAAGTGATCATAATACCAAATTTTAGGTTTCCAAGTCTATTCCGTCCTCAAATATATGTCCAAAACCACCTCATACACACAAGAAGTGACCCTAATACTAAATTTTAGATTTAAATCACTATCCGTTCACTCGATACCAAATTTAGTACGATTTTGTGCTCTTGTGCTCGTCTTGTAGTACGCGTTTCAAAAAACGAATTTTTAATTCTACACTACCCACCAGCAGTGACCCCAATACAAAGATCAATACAAAGATTTTAAAAAGCCAGCTCCATCCGTTCAGCCCCATATCCAAAACTACCTCCTTTTATCGACTCTACTTTCAACAAATGTCAGAGTTCACATAATCTCAAATGCCATCCAATTTAGTAGATTTTGGTGCACTTATTGTTCGAGTCTCCAAAACCCATTTGGTTCTTGCATTGCAATGCATTCAATTTTAAGTACCTTTAAGTAAATTTATAGTTTATTATAGTTCGAATTACCAAAACGCCTGAAAGTATGCTATAATTTAAATTTTACCTTCAACGTCATTATACTTAAAACGATAATGAATAGAAACCAACCTTTTTCAATACCAAAACATCATTATAAAATATCGGTGGATCGGTAAATTCCTCCTCAATCCATGAGACGACTTTTTCCGAAACGAACGGTGGTACTGGTACACCCCAGAGGCGTTTATTTTCCGGCTCCTCTGTCTCCGGTGAGATGTTGTCGAAACTTAGCCGCAAAGCGGAAGTTGGCGACAATTGTCGCTCGATTTCGTTGAATTTATTCATGAATTTTGTAAAGTCCATATTAAGTGGGGGAGAAGGGAGAAAAAAAATTCTCTCGTATTATTTGAATTTAAAAAGTGAAACGTTTTCCAGCTTTAATGGCACGGCTGCTAACGATGATGGTGGTGATGATGTTTATTTTGATAATTTTGTTATGGTTGCTGACACAAGCCATTTATGACAAGAGAAAATCAGGGTCACGTGAATTATTTGCGTTTTTTTATTTTCGTTTATTTGTGTGCTGTTTTTTTCTTTCGGGAAAATATCTTTTCTTTTTAGACACCAACACAAAATTCGTTTGCTTTTACCACTACAATGACAAGTATTATTAAATATTTCACAAACACACATACGGCGATATCATTTCGCTTTCACTTTCTCGTCTTCACTATTTTATTAAATCCCAACACGTCTCAATTCACACTCTCATGTAGAGCTCTAAGGACAGGCGGTCGTATCAGTGGTCTTGTGTGGAGATAACCGACTGAAAACAAATCGAGCGAACGGACAAACAAACAAACGAACAATGGCAGAAGGATGTCTCTAGGTTATGACGTAGCTCCAATGTGGCGGTAGAGCGGGTGGGTGGCCTTTTGGGTGAAATATTCTACCCTGTCATACGCTCTTTTTGTATTGTTGTAACAAGTTTTTTGTTGTGGTAGAGAAAAGGGTATTCCTTTCTTTTTTTATTATTTCATCGATTTTGATTTAAGAGTTCTCCCAAAAAAAATTAAAGGAAAGTTTTTTTGGAGTTCCTGTTGGTATGGTCGTGGGGTGTTGTTAGTATACAAAACTCTGCGTGCTCAGTTTTTATTATTGGTTTTGAATTTTATCCGCGCAAGTACCGTCTTGTCCGAGTTGCAAATAGACACTCATCGCTGACATAGCTGGTAGTAGTATAAAATGTAGTGTCTAAGGTTTGAAAAATACTGGGAAATTTATGTATTGTTAAAATAAGGGGTTTCTCTTTTCTTTTGAAATGAGCATCAAGTCGTTGAGTCCTTTGTCAATATTGGCAGGGGAAAATCTTTTGTTTGAGTTCATTCATAAGATTTGTGGTTTCTTTTGATAAATAAACAAACATTTGTTTCTTGAGAAGATAATTGTCTTACACTCGAGGAAAAACAACGTAAATAGGGATAATAGAAAAAGCGAGACATAACATAGAGAAGTACTGGGAAATGGGAAGGACCTTAGAAAGGGAAGGATAGAAATAGGAATAAAGAAAGTTGATTTCGAAAGTTGACATTTCGATTTTTGTCTTGAATAAAACGTACACTTTTCATCTTTGGATTTTGTCCAATCTGAAATCGTTTTTCGAATTGAGTTCTTTTTCTTTGAAAAGAATTTTCGTTTTCTTGTTAGGCAAGAATAAAAATCAAAACCAAAAACACGTTAATCGTTGCACACTTTTTGGCTTGTAAAAAACAAATCAAACAGCAGACCAAAATCTATAACAGAAAACTCTTTAGGAAAAATCGCCTTCTGCCATTTTTATACCCTCAGACAAATGACTACAGATACATTTGATACGGCCAAAACATGCCTCATTGAAATAACGGTTTTAGATCCTAGGTCTCTTTGTACCAAATCCGTTTCAGGACATTTAGAGTCGATCTAGAGATGTCCGTCCCTCTGACTGGCTGGCAGAAGCGCACGATAACTCTCGAAGGGAGTATCCGGTATGATCCAAACTTGGTACATCGTAATATTATTGTCAAACATAGATCGAGTTCGAAAATTAGCAATATCGGTCAACTCCTTCTGGCACTTCCCCACCAAAATGTCAACATTTTCAAAGAAAATAATTTACTGCACACAAAGAGAGAGCATAATCCGATTTTGCTCCAACCTTGCATATCCTAATATTTGTATCAATGCTAGGTCAGGTGCGAAAATGGACAATATCGGTCCACTCCATCAAGTACCATACCTCACAAACGGTCAACATTTGGAATAATTATAACTCTTATAAAATGTGATGTAAGAGTCGGATTGCATTCAAATTATACACATCACAATATTTTCATTAACCCAAAGTCTGGTGTGATGATGGAATATATCGGTAAACTCCTTCTGGTACCTTCCCCACAAAAGGTCGAAGTTTTCAAAAAAGAGAAACTATAATCCGATTTTGCTCCAACTTTGCAAATCCTAATATTTAAGTCAGGTGCGAAAATGGGCAATATCGGCCCACTTCATCTAGTAACTCCTCCACAAAGAGTCAAAATTTTGAATAATAAAAACTCTTATAAAATGTGATGCAACAGTCCGATTGTCTTCAAATTACACATATCACAATATTTTTATTAACCCTAGGTCTGATATGAAGATGGAATATATCGGTCCACTACTTCTAGCACCTCACCCACAAATGATCAAAATTTTGAATATTCATGAAGCTAATAAAACACGAAATTAATATCCGATTCCATTTAGACTTGGTACATCTCAATATTTCCATCAACACAAGATCTGTTATAAAGATGTAGAGATCAGACCATTTCTTCTGGTACCTCCCACACAAAGGGTTAAATTTTTGAATAACCAAAACGATCATGAAATCCGAAATAAGCATCCGGTTGTCTTCAAATTCATCACAATATTTTCATTGATCCAAAGTCAGGTGTGAAGGTGGAATATATCGACCGACTCCTTCGGGTACCTCCCCCACAAAGTGTCAACATTTTGAGTATTCATGAAGCTCATAAAACGCGAAAATAACGTATAATTCCAATTAGACTTGATACATCTCAATATTTCCACCAACAAAAGATATTTTACAAAGATGGCAGAGATCGGACCATTACTTCTGATATCTTCTCCACATCGGGTTCAGGATTTTGAAAAACAAAACGCTCAAAGAAAGCTAAATAAGCATCCAAATCCATCCATCTCCACAAATTGCCCACATTTTCGCTAACACAAGATCTGCTGTGATGATGATATACATCTGCCAATCCCTTCCGATACCTCACCCAGAAAGGGCCACAATTTCCAATACGTATATCTGTCATAACTTGCGAAACAAGTCGTCGATTCCTTACAACTTGCTACCTCTAAGTATTTCTCTTAAATCGGAATTTATGATTTCGCATAAGATTGGATATAAATGTTTGATATTTTTATCTGTATTAGATGAAGTAGAAAATTAGAATACTTCGGTCCGCTATATCAGTAATCTCACGCAAATTTCCAAAAAAAAAAATTCACATATCTCATATAAAGTACAGGTAGTAGTCGATATAGTCCAAATCCAAATCTTGTATATTTATATTAATCTTAGGTCAGATACGAATTGGTCAATATTGGCCAACTGAACCTCCCCCATGAAGAGTCAACAGTTTGAATAATCATAAGTCAAGGCCTGGGGGAATACATCTGTCGGCAAAATCGACTGATACTATTTTACTAGTTACCACAACAATTGACCACCTCGACTTTAAGATTTTTCAATGTCAAAATTTAATTTAGACATACATCAAAAGTTTCAATACCGTAATTAGCTTTAGAGACCAAAACAATTTTTTCAAGTCGTTTTAAATGTTGCATCACTTCTTGTACATTTTCCTCTGCCAACATCGGTTACAAGGGGGATTTACCTTTCATGAATAAATAAAGTTAATCTACGAACAGAAAGATATTTGGGGACTACAGACATTTCAGAGCTCTACATAAAATAATGTGGACTGTATCTTGATTTTAACAGCAGAAGGACAAACATAATGATGTCGATTTAGAATTTTATAGTGCCCGAGAATATTTACATACACGTTTTGGGGGCTCTGACAAACATTAAATAACCTCCATTTTTATGGTGAAGGGTAAAACAGTTCAGCTCTTATGCATCATGGCACCCCTAGAGAACGAATTTCCTCAAATCGTTTCAATAGTCAACCTATTGAACCAAATTACAATAAATAGTACCATTTGCTATTTTTCATAGTCTTATAGAGTAAATTTCCAACAATCATGTACACTGCGCCCCAAATAATAGTAAACCTAATGTACATTTTTGAGTTTCTGGCATCATCCGTTTCATTTGGTTACCGATTGTCAGTCTGTCAGTTCTTTAACTCCTTTATACAAATCCACGATTACATTAATTTCCTTACTGTCCGATGTAGTTACTCACTCTTACGACATTTTTCCCGCCCAACAATTCTGACGTTACTAGAAATTTCCCTCTTTTTTCCAGAGGCATGCGCAGTATGTAACACAGTGGGAGATTTGATATAATAACAAGTTAAAAAGTATCAGTCGGTCTTGCCGGCAGATGTATAACCTCAGCCAATGTTTGATTATTTAAATGTATTTTGACTTCTATTATGATTATTCAAATTGTTGATCCTCTATGGGCCAATATTGTCCATATCGTATGGGACACAAATAAATATGATATAAATATCAGGTTTGGACTACATTGGTTACTTCATTCATTTTATATGAGGTAAGAGATAATTTTTTAGAAAATGTTAAAATGTATATATATTCTTCACGATAAATCTTGTGTTAGCAAAAATGTTTGTATGTGTGAAATTTGAAGAGAGTTGGATGTATATTTCGTTTTCGTTGATCGTTTTGTTTTTCAATATCCTGAACCCTATGTGGGTAGGGTACCAGAAGAAATGGTCCGACCTCTAGATTCGGATGCTTCTTTCGAGTTTCTTAATCGTTGTGGTAATTCAAACTTTGACCGTTTGTAGGGGAGGTACCATCTTGATAGTTGATAGAAATATTGAGATGTGCCAAGTTTGAATGGAATCCGATGTTCATTTCGCGTTTTATGAGTTTCAGGGATATTCATATACCTCTTCCTTTGGGAAGATGTACCAGAAGGAGTGGACCGATATGTTCCATCTTCACACCCGACCTAGCACTGACACAAATATTATGATTTGCAAAGTTGGAGCAAAATAGGATTATCCTTTCTCTTTCTGTGCAGCAAAATATATATATATATATATATATATATATATATATATATATATATATATATATATATATATATATATATATATATATATATATATATATATATATATATATATATATATATTTTTTTTTTTTTTTTTTTTTTTTTTTTTGAAAATGTTAATATTTTGTGTGAGAGGTACCAGGATTGAACCGATATTGCCCATCTCCGAACTCGATCTAAATTTGATAATAATATTACGATGTAATTTGGACCAAATGAGATACTTATTTCGAGAGTTATCATGCGCCACATCCATCCATCCAGACAGACGGACGGACAGACATCGCTAGATCGACTCCAAATGTCCTGAAACGAATTAGGTCCAAAGAGACCTAGGGTCTAAAGCCATTACTTCGATGAGATACGTTTTGGCCATATCAAATTATATACAGGGTGAGATGAAAAAACTTCAACCAACTTCAGACTGCTGTCATTTCTAAGCCACTCGCTTTTAAATTTATTCCAGTGACAGCTCATTATATTGTTTACAAGCGTACAAAAGCATTTTGGTGTGGCCGAAAAATGGCTCGTGAGCTGAACATATCGCAATATTTCATTCGGCCAATATTGAAAAATGAGCTCGGGGTAAAGGCATTGAAACTCCAAGAAGTGCAAGAACTTACACCACAACAGAAAGAAAATAGACTCAAAAGAGCTAAAGAGTTGCTTGGCTTGGCCAAAAGTGGTGAACAGCCGAATTTAGGTTTCTCCGATGATAAAACATTCGTTGTCCAGCAGTTTGTAAACAAACAAAATGCACACGATCGTTACTTGCCAAGGAGGTCAGCTGAAAATGTGCACCTTCGGTTGGCCACTAGAACTTAAGCGCCGTCCATGGTGAAGGTGTGGGCCGCTCGTATTAATCGACCGTGGCATCAGAATAAATGCCGAATATTATCGCG